ATCATTAGCCAAAGTAAAAAATTGAATCAAATGTCAATAATAACCTCATACCTAAACAAACCCTAATCCTAATTGTTATCTTTCATCAATAATTTAATTTAAAATGTTATTAAATGAGAAATTGGATTAAAAATTAATTTTATGATTTAATTTATGCTAATAAATTAAGGTATTTAGGTTAATTTATGATTTAATTTATGAGTAATGCTATGTATCATAAAAAAAATATCATGAAAATAATCATGAAAGATTCCCCACCGTTAGATTACACATGCAAGAGAACATCACACACTAATCAAGGAATGAAAAATTTTAAAATGTTATTAAATAAGAAATTAGATTAAGATAACTTTATGATTTAATTTATGGTAACTTTATGTTTAATTTAAAATGTTATTAAATAAGAAATAGGGTGAAAAATTAAAAATTAGATTAATTTAATTTTATGGTAATAAATTATGGTGTTTAGTTTACTATAATTTTATTTGTTAAATGTGTTATTAAGATGGAAATTACATATATTAGAGAGGAGAGAAAGAGAATATACCATAAGGGATTTTAAAAGAGTTAACTTTACACTTCAGTTCAAAACCATAAATGAGTTTTTTTTGCCAATATTTGAACCATAGGGTATAAAATGTTTTGAGGCAAAACCATAATTTTACTCTAATTTTAAATCAAATACTTAGCAAGGGATAGTGTAGAGATTTTTTATATCTCAATAAAGAGGATTTTAAGAGTAATATCAACTTGGATTTATCTAATTTTAAATATCCACTTGAGAATCAATTTGCAAATGTGATAAATGATGGGCAAATTACACAAATAGTCCTTATAGTTTGGGGCTTGTGTCACTTTGGTCTCTAATTTTTCAATTGTGACATATTTGACCTTGAATTTTGAATCTTGTTTCAAATAAGGACAATTGAATATATAATTAGATTTTTCAATGGTAAAATTGTCAATTTGATAAAATATAAACTAATTTGACAAAAATAAATGTAAAAAAAATATTTTTGAATTTTTAAAAATTATTTCTACCTATTAAAAATAAAATTATGTAAAATTGATAAATCTTTTAGACATTTATTTATTTATTTTTATCAAATTAATTTTTATTATGTGTTTAGATAATGATCATGTAAAATTAATTTTAAAAAATTAATCATGTAATTTTTATTAATTTTACATAATTTTATCATTGGTGGATAAAAATAATTTTAAAAAAATTAAAAATATTTTTTTGACATTTATTTTTGTCAAATTAGTTTATATTTTATCAAATTGACGATTTTACCCTTGAAAAATCTAATGATATTTTCAATTGTTCTTATTTGAAACAAGATTCACAATTCAAGATCAAATGTGTCACAATTGAAAAGTTAAGGATCAAAGTGACACAAGTCCCAAATTATAGGGACTATTTGTGTAAATAACCCATAAATGAAAGAAAGAAGTCGAGGAAAAAAAAAATAGGAAGATAAAAGAAATTAGTAATTAATTAACTAAATAATACAATTACAAGTTGTAAGTATGTTATCTTGCCAATTTTACTGCTTCAAAATGAAAGTGCAAGTAATGGAAATGAAATCATAAGAAATGTAAAATTTATAGCCCTAACTAATCCTAGTGGAAAGGAAAAACAAGACTAGAATTGAAAGAAAAGAAATGTTGGGATTTGATGATTTGTCGAGAGGATTTCTTTTCATTCATTCTACTATTTATATAGGCTTCTTGGCATTGACATCCCCACTAATTGCTGAGGGCCTGCAACTACCTCACACTTTCTCCACTCCTTCAAAATTAAACAAAAATGCTTTGTAACTTGAAAATTCTTTACCCTGAATGGCTCGAATTTCCTAAACGTCGTCGTTTTAAAATTTTTTATTTTTTCTCTTTCTTTCTTTCTTTCCCTTCCACCTTTGTTTTCTCTCTGAAACAAACCAAAAAATAAGAAGAGCAGAAGAAGAAGAAGAGAGAAGGAGAAAATGACATGAGGAAGAAGAGAAAAGAATAAAAGAAGAGAGGGGGAACAGAGAGAGAGAGAGATCTATACACAGATCTATGTATGTATACACACACACAACAGAGGGTCGTGGTGGCACTGGTGGGTGAAGGAGTTTGCGACGGTAATGGCGGCGCCGATGGGTGAAGGAAGAGCACAAATCTGTGTATACACATAGATCTATGTGTGTATACATACAGAGGAAGGTCAATGGCGGTGCTGGTGGGTGAAGGGGTTTGCGAGTTTGAGACGGTGATGGCGGCACCGGTAGGTGAGGGGAGTTTCGGCTCCCTCTGTTCCCCCTCTCTCTCTGTTCCCCCTCCCTATTCTCTCTTTCTCATTCTTTTTTCCCTGGCCTCTCTATTTAAGAGAGAAAAGAAAGGGGAAAAAAAATGACCAAAACAACGTCGTTTTGGAATTCAAGCCAACCAAGTCATAATTATTCGAGCTACCTAGCGATCATATTTTTATTGAAAGTTTAAACATGATACCAACATATTTATTTCAGGCATGTAAAATTTTACTCATCCAATAAATTTGTCAAGAATTTTATTCAAAATAAAAATATATATAATTAAAATTTAATTGAAGAATTGTAAGGTTTAGTTCACACATTGATATTTTTAATTAAAAATTATAAGTTGGACATATTACTGTTTATGCATTGTTGGCTAGTGCATTCCTGTGCTGAGAAAAGAAAGACATGTAGAGGTAGAGAGGTAGAGAGAGAAAGCAATGGAGTGACAGAGAAAGGGAGTGAGTGTATGGTCGGTGAAATGTCTGCTCCCAAAATGGATGATGAGTTGCTAAAGGTGGGGTGACCCCAAGCAACTAAATGGGGTCTTCCACGTCTCCAATTGATGGCTAATGTTAAAAACAGTTGTCATCACATGATTCCTCGTGGGGTTTTCCACCATTTTCACCTATTTTAGCTTGTCATCTCATCCTATATATCATAGGCGCATATAATATCAGTTTTTTTTTTTTTTTTTTTTTTTTTGGACAATTACAAAAGAAATCCCAAGATTTGAATCTTTTAACAAAATAAATCATGAGTTTTTAATTTTATCAATTCAAATCCTAATCTTTTGATTTATTTTCAATCTAAACAATTCATCTATTTTTATTAAGTAAAATCAATGGAAAAAAAGTATTTTAGTCATTAAACTCAATATAAGTATACATAAAATGTTTAAAATATTATTTTTATTTTAGTTTAATGACTAAAATATTATTCTTTAGTTGTTTTTACTTAATAAAAATAGACAAATGGTTTAGATTGAAAATAAATTAAAAATTTTGGATTTAAATTGACAAAATTAAAAGTTTAGGGTTTATTCTGATATAATTGTCCCTTTTTATTTTTTATGGTAATGCATTAATTTATAGTTTAAATCTGGTTTCTACTGAACCCTGTCCCAGTTTTGATCTGTAATTGTGTAACCTCTTCAACAAGAGATGTCAAATGGGTTTCTCACTTGCAAGGAAATCTTAGAGACTGGGCTATTACTATAGGTGAAAAATGGGTCGTTAATGTTATGGTCTCAGACTTATCAGCTTATATTTTTTTTAATGTTGTATTTGTGTGGTAGAGATTGAATTGACATAGTGTGGGGTCTACATATAAATGAATTTGAACCATAGATTGATGTTTCTGGATAAAATTCGAGATAAAAACTCTGAATTCGTAGTGTTATTGAAAATGGATACGTATAGGGCTGAGCATGGTTCAGACTAAATCACTATTTATAGTTTTATGAAATTTAGAATCAAACTGAATTATGAAAATTTTGGGTCACATCACCTCTTTACTTTTCTGTACATTTTTTCATAAAAAGTCAAAAAGTATACTTATTTAGATCATTTCAAACAATCCTTACTCGAACTTAGAAAATGTAATTTGCTTCGGTTTGGAACAACGGATTTTATATACTTTGTCATTATTTATAATATGATCACAATACGCTCAAAACATAAAACAATGTCACAATTTTATAAACAACAACTATTTAAGGGGAAATTTGGTTAAAATTCTCTCATAATAAAATTTTTATACATTAAGGACAAACAAATTTTTTTCTTGAAAAGTCCATTACACATCACTATTATCAAAACATCGTTAGCGAGTTATTTAATAATTTAAATTTAAAATTTAAAATTTAAATTCCTATCTAAAAAAGAAAATTAAATTTTAAATTGATATAACTTTTGATTTAAACATCACTTTTTAATAAAATTAATATTTTTAAAATTCTCTCGTCAAGATCTATTAAGATCTATGAAATTCTTTAAAAAAATTAATAAAATTTTTACCGTTGAAATTAATGTCAACAGTAAAATTTTATACTATCTCACAGTAAAACTTATTGTGAATCAAAATAAAATTTTACTATAAAATTTATATTTTATTTTGTATTGTCTTCAGAATTAAATTGATTCATAATATTTTCATGACTTAATTGACAAAATCAAAACTTTAAGAATTTAAACGAAAAAGATGTTAAATTGTAAAGACTATAACTGTAGAGTAATATCAACCTGGAAGTTTATACATGCCATTGCCCATTTTTCAATCAATCAACCCACATTAAGATTAAAAGCAACTTCTTTGAGTCTCCTCTATAATTTATTCAATAATATTGTCAACCACTCATGACATTGGTGCAATTGCACACAAAACACAAATTTCAAATTCACCCATAAATTATTACATGGCTAATAATAAAGTAAGTCCAGTTGTACCCACAAAACACAAGGTTTTGCTAGTAGCATCATCAACCCAACAAACAAGAACACACACTATAAAGTGCAAATAGTAAGAGCTAACAACTTACATTTAAATGACTTAATTGACAAAATCGAAACTTTAAGAACTTAAACGAAAAAGATATTAAATTGTAAGGATTATAACTATAGTTTATCCAGTAAAGTAATATCAACCTGGAAGTTTATACATGCCATTGCCCATTTTTCAATCAATCAACCCACATTAAGATTAAAAGCAACTTCTTTGAGTCTCCTCTATAATTTATTCAATAATATTGACAATCACTCGTGACATTGGTGCAATTGCACACAAAACACAAATTTCAAATTCACACATAAATTATTACATGGCTAATGATAAAGTAAGTCTAGTTGTACCCACAAAACACAAGGTTTTGCTAGTAGCATCATCAACCCAACAAACAAGAACACACACTACAAAGAGCAAATAGTAAGAGCTAATAGCTTATTCAAATTTAGACAATAGTCTGATAAAATGTAATCGTAACAACTAACTAGTTTGCATAGATATATGAGACCACCTTGTAACATTGGTTGGTTTCTCTAACTTCTTGATCTTCATAGAATTTGAGAAAATCGTGCCTTGAAAATCACCTGTGAGGAAAAAAGCCAAATCTAAATAGTTTATAAAGAAACCAGAGAGAAGAAAAATACTAAAAAAAGAACAAACACATGTTCTCACATATATATATATATGTGTGTGTGTGTGTGCGCGCGCGTGCAAGCGTGTGTTTCTTTTTTTCTTTACTTTCTTTTCTTTCGAACTAACAACATGGATGTCTCAACAACATATGCCGTATAGCGATCCCGGTTTTTCCTTTATTGTTTAATTGTATTTCAGACTCGGTTCCGTGGATGTATTGTTGTCTTTTTCCTGTTTCCATCCTTTACTCTTTGTATATGAGTCTTTGGTCGTGTTGGGTAGGTTTAAAATAGGTTAGTTGTGTTTGGAAACCAAGGGTTGATGTCCATTTAATTCCAACTAGTGTCTATTAAATTTTCATAATGGTTCATTCAATTCGAATTAGTGATCCATTCATATTCCATTAGTGGGATTTTATGACAAACTTGTCCATTCATATTTCTAACTAGTGTTCATTTAATTCTAGTTAGTATTCATTTAATTCTAGTTAGTGTTCATTTAATGTTAGTTAGTGTTCATTTAATTCTAACTTGTCCTTTCATTTTCCAATTAATGGGCTTTAATAACAACCTTTCAATATCACTTGTTCATCTCCCTTTTGATTTCAAAACCCTAGAACCATCTTCTCCCTCTCCCTACACACCTTCTCTCTAGGTTTTCATCTCCCTCTAGTGTAAATCTATACTAAGTCCTTTGTAAGAAAGGTAGAGTGGGTTGAGGGCTTCATTTTTAATCTGAAAGTTTGGCGATTTGGAGCACTTTGGTTTTTGGCCTTCATCTTCTCCATTTGGTCTCTCCATTTGAGGTAGGGATTTCTTTGTTCCTTTTCAATACTTTGTCTATAGATAGACATGTGGTAGTTTTGTATTGCATGAAAATCATATCCGTGTTGGATTTGTTTGAAAATCATGAGGGGAACCTAGGGTTGGTTGTTTGAGAATGGTTTTGTTATCACTGACTGTGGTTTGGACTAATTAGAGAGTAAAATTAGCATGTTATTGTTGAAAGAAGAGAAAGCCCTAAATTATATTTTGATTTGGTAAAATAAAAAGGATTTACGGTTGAACAATGTTGGTAAATTTCTATTGTTAATATGAGTTGTGTAGAAGGTGTTAACAGTTAAGGGATTAATTATGGTATTGGGGTTATTTTGAAATGAACGTATTGAATCAAGTTGGGTTATGGCTTATTATCCATGGAATTGATTTTGTAAAATGAAGAGAATGTAATTGGTTTTGTGAAAAGGGGAAAGTGTTTTTGGAATAAGTGATGGAACATGTTGACTTAAGAAAATTATGAAGTTGATCTTGAAAATGGTAAATAAAATGTTAACTCTATGTGAGTCTCGGAAAATAAATTTCAGAATTAAACTATTGTATCATGAGTGTCGAATACACATATTTGGGGGTTTTATCCTTACCTATCGTACTAGTGTCGTTGTTGGATTTAAGGTTTGCTTGAGAGTTGAGTCTCTTTTATTAGGTGTACTGAATACATGCATCTAGAGGTTTTGTCCTTGGTCATCGGTGGAGAATGACATTGGTGTGTTGAATTGTGATGTATGCGTTACACTTGTGTTGGTTAAACATTATTGAATAGTTTATGTGTATGTATTACACTTGTTATTGATGCTTTGTTGTATTGAGGAATTTGTATATGATAATAGTTTATATACATTGTGTTGTGTGGGAAGAGATAGGGGATGTACTCCACGGTTTAGGGGAAGATAGGGGATGGACCTCTAAACCGGAAACTGTTTGACATTGATACAGCACTACAATGTGTATCATTTGTGAAGTATACAAGTGTTTTTGTTTGATATTGATACAACACCAAAATGTGTATCATTTGTGAAGTATGGAAGTGTTTTTGTCTGAGATTGATACAGGACTAAAATGTGTATCTATTATGAGGTATGAAATGTTTAAAATGAGTTATTATCTCGCTTATCGCTTTGGCATATCCTTAGCTACTGTGCATATAGCCGGTAGAGCAGAGTTTTAATTGTTATCGTCAGTGTATCTGAGTATGTTATGGGTTGCGATGGTTACAGTTTTGAAAGGCTGAGCTGCCTCATTTGTGGGTTATATACATGTTGATGATTTGTTATTTCCCTTTTATTTAAGGCATGCATGTATTGATATGAATGTATTAGGAACAAACCAAAATGCCATTTTGAGACTTTGGGGATGTGAAGGAAAGTGGGGTATTTGTGAACATGTTTTCAAAAAAGGTCATTTTGTTGTAAGTACGGAAAATGGGGGAAGAGTAATGGGCTTGGTGAAATTGTTTTTTTTTTTAAAAACTGTTATAGTCATGAAAGTTTGGAAAAATGGGTATTTAAAAGGAAAGAAGGTGAACCGCTTATAGCGTTGAATGAAATGGTTGTTTTCGAGAAAAGTTCATACTTATGTATATTTTGTATAAACTGCCACATTACTATTCTAGTATGAGATTGAACATTCATGATCATAGCTATCTATAAGTTGTTATTGTTGAGGATCATGTTGAGATCTCTACTGGACTATATGTTCATCCCACGTTGAATCTTTTTCAGGTGATAGCCAGGATGTGCTACAAGGTTTTGGATCTTCTTATTTGTTGGCCACGGGGCCTCTTTTGTGTTGGCGGAATGCCATTTATGTAAAAGGGTTATACCCTTCTTCTTGACTTTTAATGATGTAAGCCCAAGGGCAATTTATTTAGTGTTCTCATGTTGTATTTACTTGCATACGAATGAGAGCAATGTTATTCACTTCTACAAGTTGAATATACGAGTTTATTTCCGCATGTTATCTCTGAAATGGAATTAAGTAAATGAAATTGGTAATACTTTGAGTAATAAAAAGTGGGGCGTGACATGCCGTATCTTAGTTAGTTTAGTTAACAAATCCAGAGATGCCAAAATAAAAACAAAGCTAAATAGTTATTAGGTCAACCTCAAAAGAAGAAGAAAGTTATTAGGAAAATCAGAAGGGATAAAAATGCTAAAACAGGAACAAAGTACAAACATATATATTCCATCTATTTGTTTGTACTTTTATTTTAGCATAAATTTATTTCTTTCATTAAAAAGAAGCCTATATACACACTACTATGTACTATGCTCTGTCTGGCTTGAAGGGGAACAAAAATCTATGAGAGGTTTTTTGAAAAATGTGTTCAGTAGAAGACAATGCCCTATATTTGGTTAGGACTCTAAAAATGATGATACTAATAGTCATGGTAGCATTGGTGTGGGTTGTGATAGTGGTGGTTGGGGTGGTGGCTATGGTAATGGTAGTGACAATGGTGGTTATAGTGTGGTTGGTGGTAGAAAGGTGATAATGGTAACTGGTGGGTCGTTAAGCACACCAAAAATAAAGTCCAAACTGTACCTAAATTCTGTAGAATAATGGCAAGTCTAGGTATCGATTCACAATAACTAATGTAAAATTCAACTAATTTTAATAGCAAGATTCCTAAATTCATTTAGATGAGAATAATTGATGATAATTAAATTAAAGTGAGAATTAAAATAACAACTAGAAAATTAAAGGGTAAATTACAAATACACCCTTGATGTTTGCTTAAAGTACAGATGGCCCCCTGTGATTTGAAAAATTATAAATACCCCATTTTCAGAATTTTTTATTTAACAGAATTAACTAAAAAAAATGAAATTTATAATTGCTCTCCTATACAATAATAAATTTTTTTAAATTATTAATTCAAACATATTTTTAACATCATTAAAAATTGTTAATTGACTTGATGATTTATTAATAAAAGGGATGATTTGTTATGAAATTAGAAATCTCAGAAGGTGGAATGTAATTTCTAGAACCACAGGAGGCGATTCGTATTTTAATCAAATCTCACGGGGTGTATTTGTAATTTACCCAAAATTTTAAATTAACAGTAAATATTAAGATTGAGAATTCAATTTGGGACAAATCCTAGGGCAAAGAATTCACCACTAGTTGCGTAAATAGGGTTTAACATCAACATCTAATTGCAATATGGTTTGAACTACTCAATGTTTCACAACTACATGTTTGAAATATTGATTAAAAGGATTGTTGCGTTCAACATATAGGCACGAATTATCTCAAGTAGTACAACTCGTTCGCTATAGACTACGGTAGCAATTCGACTCGTCTCTCATAGCATGACTCATCTCATACTTTGAGTATAGCACATAGAAAATCATTGTATGAAAAGTATTCAACAATGACAGAAAGTAGAATACTAAAAGGGATAGAAAGAAATTGAAATTAAAACTTCTAAAACATTCATACAACTTGCTCAAACCATTTAAACAATCAAAGCCTAGTTAAAACTCTATTTACATGGCTAGGGTTTCATCAAAACCCTAGAAAGAGAAGCCTAGCCGCTTATGAAGGAGTAGAAAGATGATGAAGAAGCCGCCATGGAAGATCTCCAATCCTTTAACTCCAAAACTCCAAAACCCTAGCCTTCTTTGCCACTTTTTTTAAGAGAAGTTTTTAACCCTAGAACAACCTTTTTTTCCTCATCTTATACTTTTCTAGCAAAACAGGTGACTTAAGAAAAAACGCGCAAAAAAATCGACGTGGCCGCACGTGCGGGAAAGGCAGCACGTACGAGAAAGGCTTAGCACGTGTGGGAAAAACCCTTTGCACGAGCGAATAAGGCAGTCCATTTTGATCTTTGGGAAAGGGGCCGCACGTGTAGGAATGACCCTCCGCACGTGCAGTGTGTGCTTTTCAACTAACATATCACTTTTTGGTTCATTTTGTACTTCAAACACATCCAACCTAATTCACATCAAACACTAGTAAAATGTACAAAGTTGCATCAAAAAGAGGGTTAGGAAATGTCAATTATAGGCCTCAATGGTATACATTTCAACCTCAATTACACCTCCCAACTTACAACTTGCTAGTCATCGAGAAAGGAAAGAAAGAAAGAAAGAAAGAAAGAAAAAACAAAGCAAAATCTAGTTACATCCTCTTTGTGGAAAGAACAATTACATTTAACATATGTTTGAAGTGGATAATCCTTTGTGATATGTTTAAAGTTGAACATATTGATATCTTTAAAGTTGAACATATTGGAATAGAAGAAGAACATTAACCGATGAAGGGAAATGCTATATGCAAGTTATGTCATTTGTGAGTTTGATTATTATAAATGGCATAACTCAATACCATGGGAGTCATAACTTTAAAAAAAAAAAAAAAATTGAGTTATAACCAAATATCACATGATGTATAACCAAACAACTCTTGGATCATAAGTAAAATAATGCCATAACCAACATCATAATGTGTCATAACTAACAACACTATATGTCATAACCAATGACACATAAATCGTAACTAAAAATACATACAGTACACACTACCATAAAATTTTCGTGCCTAGCATTCCTTAAAAATAAAGTTAATTGGTAAAAACAAGAAGAACTAACATTTTGTGCAATGAAATTTTTGTGTGTGCATGTGTGTGTATCAACAGGATATGTATGCATAAACCTTTCCCCTCAAGAGTTGATAATCTGCAATTGTTAATACCTGAAAAACGTTGTTAACCGTCATTGTCATCAAAGTCATAGACAGAATCTTCATAGTCAACTGCATCCTCATTGCCTATGTAGTAATTAAAGAGAAACTAATGTTAATATTTGGCAATGTTGAAGTAAAAATCAATTTGTTTGTAAAAAAATGAACCTAGCCAAATCTTCTGTACGGTAAACAATTGGCGGAGGCATGAAGCATATCTCAAGCAGTGGCGGAACTAGAATTTTGGCTCAGGCAATAGTAAAGTAAAATGTTACGTCTATATTAGTATTACCCACCCCGCTGCACTTCGACCCTATCAAACTTAACCCTCATTTCTAATCATGATGTTGACTTAGGCTGTAATGATCGTCTCCAAACAAAATAAACTATTTTATTGAGAGATTTCATCAAAAAAAATAAATAATGATTCTACATATTTGTATATATATTTGTCACAGAAGGGGAAAAAAATGCCAATAAGAACTAACTAGCAAATATTATAAAAAATAATAGAAAACAAACATTTAAAAATAGACTTTATAACATCATAAAGGTGATTGCTGTGATAAAATAGACATTCGAATAGTGTAAATTATAAGAACTAATTTGAAAAAAAGAAAAAAAAAAGAGAGTATATAATCAAATTTAGAGGGGGCAAATTGAAAGAACTATTTATAAACCTATACTAAAACATAGATTTTAGAAAGTTGAAGGGGGGGGAGGGGGGGGCATGTGCCTCTCCTGGGCCGATGCTCCCTCCGTCCTTGATGTGAAGAGAGTTTATTATTAACAAATAAAGTTAAACATTACAAAAATGCTTAATTTTATTTTTGAATCACAAATTATTGTAATTTTATTAAAAAATTAAATAATATTTACTATAAAAATATATTTTAAAAAATACTTGCACCACCTCTGAAAGGGATTACCCTTATTGTTGGACACCAATAATTATATGAACCCCACTTAACTATGCTGAATTTACCTAGAATGAGAATTTGTAGTTGAGATTGAATTTGTGTAGTGTGTGGTCCATGTGTGAAATAAATCTGAACCATAAAATAATAAATCTAAGTAGTTAAATCTAAATTTGTAGTATTACTATGTTGGACACACCATGGTTGTTAGTGAGGTAGCTATGTGGTTAGGTTTAGTACCTTATTTCACCCTTTTGATTGACTAGTATTTACCTTATGAAAATATTTTTAGAAGTTAATTTTATTTTTCACTTTTATAATTTGACTCAAATTTTCTTTTGGTCCCTACATTTTAATTCCAATTTCAATTTGATTCTCTCGTCCAAATTTTTGTTAATTGTTTCTATGTGTACATTCCAAAATCGTTAATTTTAACTTCCAACTTGAATAGAAAGACCAAACTAAAACTAGATTTAAAGTATTGAGACTAAACTGTTCAATTTGAAATCATAGGGACTAAAGTGAACTTGGGTTAAACTGTAAGAGTTAAAAGTGCAATTAACCCTAATCTAATTACTAACTTGCTAATTTCCTAGCTTTGTCAAAAATAAAATAAGATAAAAATAATAATTTAAAAATAAATAAATATTATCATTTTGCAAACTTATAAGCACCTAATTGTAATTTTCCCTAAAGTTTAAAAGAATGACCATTTCATAAAAACGTTAAGAAATGATTATTCCATTTCAATCTTTTATTTCAGTGAGTCAAATACTATCTTATCTTAGCTGTAATATGTAAGATGTATAGCTAAAAAATTGAGCAGTGAAGTTGCCTTCTTGAGTTCGTCGAAAACTTGCAAATATATAATTGGAGTTTTACCTGGAAATTTGGGGCAGCGGCTTACAATGGTTTCTTCGGCTGGAATTTCAATATCATTTACATCCGGGCCAAAACACACGAGTCTTGGAAGATTTATAAGGCTAACCCAGCAAATATCTTGGGAAAAGATTTCTTCTTCGTTTTCCCTGGTGACAATCTTTTCTACCTTCTCGCAATGTTCAACTGTTAGAAGTTGTAGATTCACAAGAACGTTGGCCATGGAAATTGTGAATATATATCTCAAGTTGTCACAGTGCTGCACTCTTAGAGAACTTAGATTTTTGAAACAATGAGTTTGTTGGGAAATATTCTTCCATATGTGCGTCAACTTTGTCAAATACTTCAATTTCAATTCGCTTAACTGAGTGATTAATGTTTCTTTCTCAGCAATATCAGCACATCCCCCCTCTTGGAGATCAAATATCATTTCCAGTGAATCACACCACCATACTTTTAGCCCTTGTATATTGTGCAGCCTTTGCATTAACTTGGACGAGACAACACTTGATAATTTTCCACAACACTGGACCCGCATGAATCCTACTTTGTCAAGGCATCCGACTTCAAGTTGATTGTGCCATATCTCAGTTGGTTCATCTATTCCTGTGACATCTAGTATTCCGTTGGTGCTTAAACTAAACTGCAATTGTTATCACCTCAATTGTGTTAGTGACATAGTTACTAACCCATTGTTTGGTTAAAAAATAATGATCAGACTAATAGTCAAATACACATCATTTCCAACAAAATAATCCGGGGACTAATTATTTAGGACTAACAGCCATTGTGTTGCAATCTGCCCCTATCTAATCCGTCTAAACAAACACTCCCTTAGTGTTAACACTATTTATTTGGGAGCTGGGAACAATTGGCAAAAAAATAATGATATACAAACTAAAAAAACATATAACATTTGTATACAAAATGATGTGGTTGTACTGAGACTTGTCCTTTTAAAATCAAGTGCCCATTAAAATGATATTTAATTACAAAAGATACCACCGTTACATCATTGTAGAAAAAAAATTAGGAGTAATATCATAGTAGAGTTTAGAAAAAATAATTACAAATTTGTGAGAAATTTTATAAATATTAATAATTAAAATTGTAAACTTTTTCATGGACTTGTATTTTATTTTATTTTATTTCTGAGATTCACTGAGATGTAACAACCCCAAAAAATTATGTCTATTTTTTTAAAAATTTTTTTAAAGAATGAATTATTTTTCTTGACAAAATCTTTGACCGCATCAATGCTTAAAGAGTTATTCTCCTTGGTTTTGTGTACCCAACAATTCTTTCCTTTTCAAACATTTAGAGGTTTTTCCTTAGTTTAATGGATATTGGAAATATTTTCCTTGAAAGAATGGATTGTTAATATTGAATACTATAATTTTAAGACAACTCACTTACCTTTCTATCGAAGAGATGGTGTTGAGCGGAGTTAAAAAAATCCACTTTTCGAACATTGCTCTCTTGTAGCTCTAGCTTGCGCTGCAATGCTGAAGGGAATGTCTTCATGTTGGGACAGTTGATTACTTTTATCTCCTCTATGAATGATCCTTCAAATGTGTAAGCTTGGGGACACAAACTCTTGAGGCTTGGCAGATGATAGAGTTTGAGACTATTTAGTTGAGGGAACATGATTATATTTGTTGCGACCTCATCATTTACTTTTGGTTCCTCATTAACAATCGCTTCCAGCACACCACATTCAGCTACAGCTATTTCTCGTAGTTTCACAAGAAGTTTGGCTTGAGAAGATGAGAATATATATCTCAAACTGCTACAACCTACTACTGTTAAGGATGTCAGGTTTTGAAAGCTTGGAATTCTTTGTAAGTTGTTCTTCCCAACATGTGTCAACTTTGGTAGATAAAGTAGGGCCAATTTTGTTAATGAAGGGAGTACGATATCTGGATAGCCATCCCTAACAATTATTCCTTCAAGATCAAATGCTACTTCCACAGATTGACACCACGCCACCTCAAGTAGTTCAAGACTCTGCATGCCCTTAATCACATTGGATGGAAAAAGAATATTCGATAGCTTACAACACCGCATAATAGTCATTGCTCTCACTTTAGGTTGAAGTTCCCTAGGCCATATCTCGATCACGTTATCCATTCCAACGATCGACAAATGCTCAAGGGTAATTAATTCAACCTATAAAGTCCATTCACAGGATTACAAATATAGTTAAACGCAACATATTTTATTTCCATTAAATATCATTCATTTAATGTTGAAAACAACATAGCAGAATTTTCAATTATGTTTGTGTCTAGTGTGGTTTAGATAATGAAGTTGCTAACCACTTAGTCATGATCTTAAATGAATTTCATCGTGATTTAAATTAAAATTATTTTCTTCAAAAACCATAAAATTAGAGTATTACTATACAAGTTTAAAAATTACCCATTTTTTAACTTCAATGATATAACAATCAATTAAGATATCTAAGACAATATTCTCTCTCATATCTTCTCTAATTATCAACTAATCACTTCACTTACATGTCATTAAATCTAAAAAATGAGTCTAAAACGTGGACTTATATATCATTTTTCATAAAATTATACATGTTTTCTAATGCAAGCTCACTATACTTGAAAATCATTGATTTTCTCATTTCATAGCAAGATAAGGTTAACAGGAAAAAATAGAATATATTTTAGAGTTTAATAAAATATTGGCCTCCAAACAAGTTTTACAATGTAAATCAGATTTTTCACAATTTAAGTAAGAGAAAAGTTAGGAATCATGAAATTTTTTTCATAAAAATGATCATGAAAGATTTATAATCATTGGATTACCTTGATTAATGTGTGGTGCTTTATTCTAAGTGTAATCCAAGGATCACAAAGTTTTCATGATTATTTTCATGAAAGATTTTTCATGATACCTAGCATTGCTGTTTAAGTAAATATGAGCAAGTAAAATGATTGAGTGGGATCCTCGTTGTTTTTCCTTTGATTGGTCCCTCTCCAATTCTTGGGTCTAGTGCTAGTATAGGATTGCATTTGTTTTTCAATGCCAATTTAATTGGGATAGTTGACTCTAACTATGATACTTTGTGAACTTCCCTCCTTTGTTTTTTGTTTTTTTTGTTTTTTGTTTTTTTTTTTTGTTTTTTTGTTTTTTTTTAATCGGCAAAAAAGAAACTTTATTGATGTAAAAATCAAGTACAAAGTACAAAACAAAATACATCAATAAAGAAAAAGGAAGTACAAAAGCATCAGAATGAGCTAAATCATCTCAACTAGATTGGCACTAAAAAGCACATCCTATCTTTTACTAATACCCAGAGTTAGTGAGAAACCAACAAGAAACAGACCAAACACCGCAACAACAACAACACAACTGAGCAACAAAGAACAACAGACTCAACCGCCCTACCACCAATAGCAGGTCACACCAAATTCCATCCCAGCCCTATATATCAGCCAACATATCAAAACAGAACAAAAAACCAACAAGACAGACCAGTAACAAAGCTTAGCTGACCAACAGACCACTACCTAAGCAAAGCATCCCAGCAGACCAACATACCATTTCCCTCCTTTGTTGATGTAAGTTATGCTTATAATTTTACTTCTTCATCAATAAACGCTTTTATTTGTTGATCAAAATATATAAATATATATATATATATATATTAGATACTGTAATTAAATTTGACCATATTAGAATATTTTTATTGATAGCTTTCTTGGTGACCACTCTTATTTGACTATATATAGGCCTCTCATTGTGTTGTAAAGAGACACATTATTGAATACACTTTTCTATTTCTTCAATACTGTAAACATGGTATCAGACATATTACAACCTTCCTTGACTGCTCGCCGGATCTCAGTCCTATTTGCTATCTTTTCATCCCAAACCCCTCAGTCCTTGAACTTGAGTATCTCACAGCCATACATTTGTCTCTTTCTCCAACCATCGCCGCCATTACTCACCACAGCTCCAGCCATTGCCTCCACCTCGGACATCTATTCCATCACGCCAGCCGCAGCTTCAGCCATCACGCTGGCAGATCCAGCCCATCATCGCCGTCCTTTGCCGTTGCTCAGCTATCAGCCCACATTCAAGATCTTTCCTCTCCCTCTCTCAAATTTACCCCTCTTTCCAATCTATACTCTCATTTTTTTAATCAAACCCGTCCTACACACTTCCCCAAACCCACAATTTTTTAATTAACCCATCTAAAATTCTCTCTCTCTCTTGGGTACACTTTCTATTTAAACAAAACAATGAAACAATGTTTTTCAACTCAATCACATGGGCTTGTCCCACTATTAAAATAAAAATTCCTTTCTACAATTTTTTTTTTTTTTAAAGAATACGATCTCTTCCTTCCGCTTTTCTTCTATTTTGACATCAAATAAATTTTTGATATCATTAAATATTATTAATTGGTTTGATGATTTATTAATAAAATGCGATATTTATTATGAAATTAGAAACTTCAAAAGATAAGCTGTAGTTTTCAAAATCACATGATACAATTAATATTTTAAGCAAATTTCATGAGATGTATTTGTGGTTTACCCCAAAAAGTGTATGTAAGAGGGCCTCATTTCATAGTTTGCCTAAGATCTCATAAATCTCAAGAGTGGCCCTACCTCTACCTCCCTATGCCACCTCTCTCTCTCTCTCTCTCTATTTTTAAAAATAGATTTGCCGTAAAAAAAATCAGTAATAAATTTATCAGTATCTAGTTGTGTTCAGTGATAAATTTATCACTGAATCTATTATTAATTTTTGTTGATTTTGTATTGATCTATGATGGATTTGTTTTTTTTTTTTCAATGATAAATTTATCAATCTCTATTGTTTCCTATGTGTGTATGAAATGATGGTGGATTTTGTATTTATCAGATTTTTTTTGTCATTAGTGAACATGAGTAAGAGTTAGTAAATCAAATTTATTTGTAATTTTTTTAGAAATCGATTATTGATAAAGTTATAAATTTATCACTGAATGTGTTTATAATAAATTTATTAGATTAGACTGTGTTATATATATCTATGTGGTTGTATTTCTGTGAATGAAAGTGTATGTGTATGTAAATATGAATGAGTGATTGAGTGCTGGGAGTAGTGATGCAGTGGTGATAGATGTTATTTTTGTTGAAACAGTTCAAAAAAAATGTTGCTGGAAACTATCGCCGGATGTGGTCGTCGGCGCCGGAGGTAATCACCGGTGACTGGAGGTTGTTGTTGGTGGAGTAGGAGAGAGTCATAACAGTGTTAATAATAGGGATGAAGAAGGTGAAGTAAGGGTATTTTAGGGATATTGATAGGTGAAAAAATGAGCAGAACTTATAGATAAAGGGTTATTCTACTTACACCACTCTTTTATCTCCTTACACCCTTTATATGAGATTGTTTTTTCCTTCCAATTCTATCCATGTGTGAAATTACTTAAAAGGACAAAACATTGAAATTAAAAATATTTGATTATCTCCTTACACCCCTTGATTTTCAATCCCTACTTCTCTTCTTCTTTTCTCAACTTTTCTTTTCTCTTACACATCTCTTTTTCAAAAGTGATAATTATAGTGTTTTGATCATAAAAAAAACAATGGATGAAGAAACGGTGGTGAAAAATTATCAAAAAAGTGAAATGGTGAGTTTTTTTATTAGTTTGGTAAGTTTTTGTTTCGATTTTCTAGGTTGTTCTGCGACTTTTGTTCGGTGTTTTGAAATCGAACAAAATAACATAATTTGGCATCACAGTGCCGAACAAAAAATATAAGTCTGGTATCAAATTGCCGAATAAAAGATACATTTCTGGTAATATAAAGCCGAATTTTTTAAATTTGTTTGGCTACTCATTTCCATGTTTTTTCAGTATAATTTTTTTTTTGGAATCAATTGACACATGTTAATTTTTATATATTCGAAAAAAATATTTTCTGAATTTTTTAAATTTTTTTATAAGCTTTAATAGAATTTTGAATTGTGTGTTTGGTTATGGGTTTTAAGTTTATCATATGTCACATCAAAAATTTCTCACTCAATACAAAACTCTTTTCAAAACTCATTCACCAAACAAATTTTTCACGCTCAAATCATAATTTCAAAACCCACAAATTCAAAATACAACTCCTATTCTCAAATTATATTTAGAAAGTTTTACCAAAAGCTACCTTATTTTCTCCGTCAACTTTTATTTTTTTTTGAACCCAATGCCAGAAAATACGAAAAAAAAATGTTTTCCCTTGAAACAAATGCAGCACTAAAATAAAAAATAATCCGCCTTAGAATTGATGCTCAGCAAACTATCAAAAGCTCAAGATTGGACCTTATCTCACGACAAAATGAAACACACACACAAACACCAATTAGATGCAATTGAGCAGGTTTTGAAGAACAATGCAATGTCAAATTCTCTATAACCCAATAACCATCTTTTGCAAACCTTTTCAAAAGCAGCAAATAATTAAAAAAGTGCAAAAATGTGGGTCTCAATATTTTTTTTTCCTCTCACAATCATTTTGTCAAACAGTTGGTTCACATGACAAAACAATAAACTGTACAGTGATTAGAGTATTGACAACAAATTGAACTTAGTGGTAACAGTCAATGGTGTTCATACACTCAATGATGATCTTTACCATAACCATACGAAACTGCAAGTAGATGTTGCAACCATATAGACAAACCAGTTGAAAAACAGGAAACAAACCCATATTGAGAGAAAGAATGGTAGCCCAAATTAATAAAGCATTCTAATAAAAACAAGGAATTAAAATAAACCCCAAATTCAATGACCTACAAAGAACTGAAGCCTACAAAAAAGGAGGAAGAACAAAAACATAACAACAATTATACACAAAATGCATTGCATGAGAGAGAGATAGAGAGAGAGAGAGAGAGAGAGAGAGAGACCTCGCGGCCGGAGTGATGAGAGGAGGAGGCGGAGGAGGAGGAGGGACTAGAGGGGGCCAACATATCGGGGTGGAGGCGGAGGCGGGGGGCGAAGGCGGAGGAGGGGCGGAGGTGCGGAGGCTGCGACGACGATCGGCCGATGCGGGGCTGCGACGGCGGAGGGCTGTGACGGACGACCTGCCTCCTCCTCTCTCTCTCTCTCTTTCTCTCTCTCCCTCTCCCTCTCCTCTC